GTGCCTATTCTGGAGACATCTAGAGATAGTGTTCACCCAATGCAGCAACATTCACAATTGAAGGGATCTGGATAGCACTAGATACTGGAAGTATCAGCAATATAATTCACAATGAGGATGGAAAAAGTGGTAAGATTTAGTTCCGAAGTATTGTGTACTTCTTTTTTCTTCTATTAAAATGTGTCTGATTCTCAGACACTATCTAGACAACTCCCTGCAATTTTCTAGGTAAGGCGTTTCAGAAGTGTTTCACCATTGCCTCATTTCTAGGGATGACATAAAGTGACTGGCCCAAGGTTAGCCATCTGGCTTTGTTCCTAAGACTAGAACTAGAATTCACAGTCCTCTGGTTTCTAGTCTGATGTTTTAACCACAATGAACTGACTCTCATTGTATAAACCATAAGCCAATTAAATAATTATAAATGTGTGTAATTCTGTTTCCTCCTTACAAAAAGATGTCAGTTTACTAAACTTATGTACTGAAGAAGCAAAACTGTCTATTGTGTAGAACCAAAAGATTCTAGGCATTTCCAAAGTTCTAAATGGAACTCCACCATTTTCCACATGATTTTATTGCTACTGAACTTGACAACTCAAACTGTTGATTTTCTTCTCCAGTAACACATTATATTTAATATTATTTTCATTCTTTGGATTAAGAGCGCATACCTATAACCTCATACAGCAGCTGCATGAAATGCCTAGTATCGGTGTTAAATCCGTATGATGCAACTGAAATAATACACAACTTTTGGAAAGGCCTTGCCTTCATCACTCTCAAGTGCTTTTTAGGCAACTACCCCCACACACTCCCCAATCTGGAAGGCACAAAGCAGGTTGGACATTTCATATTCTCTCTCCCTGCAATCTCCTGGTTTGGAATAATGATTTAGCATGCTGGTAATGTTACCCTGTAGCCTGGAATGTATTATTATGAAGATGATGCCCTTCCTCTCATTCACCCCTGCTGAATTGCCTCTGGATATGGCAACAGCAGCAGTACAGAAAAATACCTCCTCTTTCCATCTCACCCATCATTTTCATACATGGAATGGAGTTTGGTTATCTACATTTCTCATGTTCCCCAGTGTTTGCAACACTATTAACAATTTCTCAAGTGCTATGGAAATGTAGTTATGATATACTGAACTCATAATTACCAAGTCTGAATAATTTCCAGGTTTGCGCTGGTGAATGGAAAGAAAGGGAGATTTGCCTACACAATAAGTATTCTTGTAGAAGAACAGAGAAAAGAGTTCCTGACATCCACATTTTCTGTGCTGTATTGTCTGGGATTGTAAACTATATTAATTTCCCAATCTTATGATCAGTGGTGGGATTCAAAAAATTTTACTACTGGTCTTTTGGACGTGGCTTGATGGGTGCGGCAGAGGAAGGATACTGTAAAATGTCCAGTCAGAAGTGGTATTTGCCGGTTCTCCAAACTACTCAAAATTTCTGATACTGGTTCTCCAGAACTGGTCAGAACCTGCTGAATACACCTCTGCTTATGATCCTTAACCATGTTGAGCTAGACTATATATGTAACAACAGTCATGGAACAATTCAAGATTATACTCCATATTCTCTGAGCTGGCGAGATTGAAGCAAGCATGGTTGTCTTGCAGCAGCAGTCAAAAGAGAACCTGGAATCTATGAACAGCACTGATGATTGTACTGCAATACTCCAAGTCAAAAGACTTGAAGAACAAAAGCATGAGTTTTGAATCAGAACAGCTAATACTTTCTCAAGAACAGCTACAGAACATAAACTCTCAGTATAAGAAGGAGAGAACTTTGCATCTTCAGCCACTTAAAGGCTCAAGTCAAGGCTGATGCAAGAGCCAAAATATGGAATACTTCTTAGGAAGTTATATGAAATAAATGAACAGCTAATGCAATTGGACAGGAGATTTCAGGTCAGTTGCAGAGAAGTAAAGGTTTTTGTCTCAGAAGGATTGTTAGCAATAGGATGACCTAACCTCTGGGAAATTTCCCAGAAAAGAATATAGTTGGTTCAAGAGAATAAAGTCTGGTCAACCTCAAAGGGCTGACAATAACCCAGGACCTTGGGATGAGTCATAACCTGGAAGAACAAAACATGCAATTATTGAGTTCCTGCCATAAAATCAAACAACAACAGTGAAGGTTGTATTATTATTTATTAGCTTATTTATAAATGGCCCAGCTCATGATTCTCCAATTAATCACTGACTCTGGGTGGCATACAAGGTTTCAAACAACAATCCAATTCAATAGAATAACATTCCCATCCCTCAAAAAGATGTTCCTAATGGAGAACATACAGTACATAGACCATAAATGTGCAAAACCAATCCCATCGTTGATATACCCACACCAAGGCCTGGAGAAAAAAGCCAGTTCTTACCTGATTCACCTGAAGGAACCAGCCATGATGAAAGCAAGTAACCACCTTATGGCCCAACTATACCACTTCCTAAGAATTTGTTAGTGCATGTTCTTTGTTATGTGAATGAAGCAATGCCTTATTAATAATATTCATATTCTCTAGGGAATATCCAACAGATGAGAATTGCAGTTTAATGCATCTGGCCAACATCTGACTATGAAAGTTTAACTTAAAATAATACACCTAAATGCTCACTTGTCCTTGACTGATCCCCAAAGCCTAAGTTAGTCTATTCATACATGGAAATGATATGACAATCTCATAGATGGTCTTGTGAAAGATCAGAAATCCTCAGGCTCTAGATTAGATTTGGAGGTCAAAAAAAGAGTTCTTGAACAAAGAGGCAACCCTCTTCTGTCAGGGAACATGCAGAAGTGCTCGCTTTAAGTCACAAATAGCTGAGTTCAACTAAAAGGAGGCTACTTCTGAACTTCTGATCCACTGGGCTCTATTTCATTCAGACAGCGTGCAATATTAGAAATACTCATGACATAATGTGAGAGCTTCTTCACTGAAGCTCACTGTTTCATCAAGAGTTTCATAACGTCCCAACAGATTTCTTTATGTGGGCAAAACATCATCGCCTTATAAAAATCCACAGTTGTGAAGAAATGTCAAAACAGCTTCGCGTTTTTCCTGTTTTTGCAAAACAGGAAGTGGGCATATAAAGTCAGTCTGGTTTATCTAGCCGTTTCTTATATAAAACAAAACAAAACAGCAGCAATTCTCCGAAATGGCAAATAGGGATTCATTTGGAGATGTCAGCAGCCTGACAGACTTTGGGCCTACATGGAGACCTTCTCTGCTGAATTATAGACCTTCACATGCGCTCTTCTGATTCTGTTCTTTGTTACATGGTTTGCTAGTTTTCCATAACTGATTGACATAATGCTGCCCCTTTTAGATTCTTTTCCCAAAATAATTCACAGCTAACATGTGTGCTTCTAAACTTAGATACTTCTTCAATATACTTGTTGAAATAATTTATTACACATTGTTCTCATTTTGGCTGGAAGGATGGGTCAAACCCACAATCCACCCATTTCAACATTCCAGGTTTGAAGTCATCAGAATTCCTGATGTGCACCTCTGAATGCTTTTGAACTTCATCGACTTCTCGGAGAATTATAAGTATAATGATATATTTGCTGTCAGCACTGAATACTTCTCTCGGCCCCCACTTCTTGCTTTAACTCCCCCTCTTCTCTCCATTGTACTGTCTACTGAAATCAATCACTCAGTAATGTAGGTGAACCACTAAAACCTTGAGGTTCTATTTTAACTGGTTTGTTTGGCTGCTTTGAATGATCAAGGCATGATTAATGGCTAATTCCTACGATCACTTCATCTATTGACCTATACTTTGAACCTGATGCCCTTGCTTTCATGCTCCACCTGAAAAAAGGCGACACGTAGTTATGGTTGCGACAGATCCTGCACATAAAATTGAACGCATTGTGCAACTGTGATGAAGAAACAAATTCTTATCTCTATAGATTTTGTGTGGGCCTTTTCAGAGATAATAGAGTATGAAATCAGTCAGATGCACACGTCAAGTCAGTGTACAATGTGTGATGCATTAACATATCCAGAGAAAAATACTCTTTTTCATGCACAGCATTAGAATTATTAGAAATATGCTTCTTGTGTTCATTTAATTATGTTGACATCTAATGAACTATGCACATAAGACACCACTTTTGGTGGATTTGGCTAGTCTGTAAACAACCCAGGTAATCCAAGGCAGGGATGAGATAGAGGAAAGGTAAGGAGAAAGAATCAAGGTGCATTGGCATCTTTTTATTCATATTATTTTTATATAAAGGTAGTCCTCAACTTAGAAGCACAGTTGAAATTTCTAGTTGCTAAGTGAGACAGTTGTAAAATAGGTCTTACCCTATTTTATGACCTTTCTTGCCATCGTTGTTAAGCAAATCCCTGTAATTGTTAAGTTATTGACATGGTTGCAAAATGAATCTGGCTTCCCTTTTGACTTTGTTCATCAGAAGGTCACAAAAGGTAATCACATGACCCCGGGACACAGCAACCATCATAAACATGAGCCAGTTGCCAAGTGTCCATGCAACAGGCATAAGTGTGAAAAATGGTCATAAATCACTTTCTTTAGTGCCATCATAACTTTAAACAGTCACTAAACGAAAGATTGTAAGTCAAGAACTACCTCTACTTCACTTGCTGGCTAGCTGTGTTTTTACATGATCTGACTATAACCAAGCTGCACTAGCAGGACTCGTGATACTATACACCACTCAAGATTGCAGAAGGTTCTTTCACAGTGTTCATTGGTATGCCTGCCCTGAATTCACAACGGATTGTGTGAGTTTTCTGTGTACATAGGAGCTGAATATGGTCTCAGGCAAGATGGAGCTTGTTCTCTTGTTTCTGTGCAGATGAAGGCCTTCACAAACACCACATGATTGATCATGCCCAAACTTCTTCTTTATAAATCTAGTTTCTATATGATGCTGATGGATTCTAGATATTGCTTTCCTGGACTCTGGTGCTGAAGCTATTTCTCAGAGTATAGTAGGTAAGAAAAGCACTCCATTAAGTTATCACTGTATTTGCAATAGGCACAGTGTGTAGACTTTTCCTGGTAAGTTTCATAAACATCAACATTACAATCAGCATAATTTCATATACTTATTTTCCACCTATAGTATATACATTTTAAATAAGCAGTAGGTTAAATAATAAGAAAAAAATATTTTTGACAGGAACATTCCACAGAGAAAGCAATAACTGAGGTGCTGTCCATTTTCCAGGGATGTCTCCAAAAGGGGTGGCTTTAGTCAATCTCTGACAGACCTGGATTCTGAAGGAAGCCCTTCCGATTTCCTCCACTCTCCCAGGCGCTTCTTGAACCATTCCTGGAGAAACAAAGGTATGTTGCTCAATGAGTAAAGAGGACAGTGGGCTTCAGGTAGTCCTCAACTTACAACCACAATTGAGCTCAACTGTTGTGAACTGAGACATTTGTTAAGGAGTTTTGCCTCCATTTTATGACCTTTCTTGCCTCAGTTGTTAAGGGAATCACTGGAATTGTTAAGTTAGTAACCTGGTTGTTAAGCGAATCTGGCTTCCCCGTTGACTTTGTTTGTCAGACGGTCACAAAAGGTGACCACATGATCTTAGGACACAGCACCCGTAATATATATGAATCAGGAGAAAGAAGCAAGGTGCATTGGCATCCTTTTATTCCTATCTGTTTTGTGTATTGAGGGAAGATGAATTAGTTAAAAAAAAAAACAGAGAAGACTGAGGTTTCTTATCTATAGCCAAATATACTGTGATTCATTCTACCACCTCAACGGCATTCTACCACTCCATTCCTGATCCACTGTGGAACAGGAGACTCAAATGGCATAAGGGTTGGTCCCACCATAAACATCCCACAGAGAGGTGAACTCCTTCTACCAGTAAGCAGATTTTGATTCCACAGAGAGGATTATAGGCTGATTCTTATTCCCCTCCAGTATGTTATAGAATGGTGAGGCACCCTTTAGTTCTGACAAATGTTGGGAGGAGATGAGAAGGAATAATTTATTGGGAAGTGGTACATGGAAGAAAGGTAGTCCAGAAATGGAGTACCTCAAGGTGCAAATGACTGTATTTGAACTTAAAGACATGGCTACTTACTAGAACCTCTTCTACTGATAGCCCTGCCTCAGCAGCAATGAGGTCAAGGGTGGCACGGTCAGGGTTCTTGCTGATTCTGGTGAAGTTGTACTCCAAAATCTCCACCTGATCTTCTCTGATAGCCTTTTCCGTGGACATGTTCACTCAAACAGAGAGCTAGGAAGGTATATCAACACAAAAAATTAGATTCTGTCCAGAAGTTACTATTTGCCTGACCCCTTTGATTCAATCACAACAAATATTTTTGCCAAAAGTTCCCTTTCCATTTGAAATATACAATCATCCCACTACCGTTTCTGTGCAGCACAATGTAGAGATTTATTAGCAGCTAAGAATCAGTTTGATGTAGTGATTAAGGCAGTAGGCCAGAAACAAGGTGATGTGAGTTCTGGTCCCATCTTAAATTCAAAGCCAGCTGGGTGACTTTAAGATTAGTTTCTCTCTCTCAGCCCTGGGAAAGCAGGCAAGGATATACTACTTATGAAAATCTTGTTAAAAAACCACAGGGACTTATCATCAAAAACTGACACCAAGGCACCAAATAGGAGAGTTTTCTTTTGATAATGGTCAAATGTGAACCCTCAGAGGCTGCCCATTGTGACATGCAATCCATCATTTTATGCAAGGATCAAATGCAGTGAACTGCTAAATAAGATTGCATGTCTGTCATACTCTGAAATACAGTCAAAAGCTAATTAGTTTTAGGTACCATCTATCAAATGCTATCATATTCAATTCTCAAAAATTACATATTGAAAATAGGCACAACTCAGTGCAAACAGTAATATTACATGCTTTGTGAATATTCATAATGTAATGAGGTTTTATGATTGATTATATGCCATCAAGTCAGCATCAGTCCAGAGTCATCTTATAGGGGAGACAGGTAGCATCAACATTTTAAAAAATAAACAAACAAAAAGTTCTTAATGATCTTCAGGATGAATTGCCTTTCTTCAGCCTTTCTTCAGGATGAATTGTCTCCAAATTGACCCTTCAGATCTTCCAGGAAAGATCTATTAAAATTCACTCTGAGAAATTTTGCAAAGTAATTGGGATGGAATTTATGACATAGCAATCTGATATTAGGATTATAATTAGTATATTTATAATCCTAACATATTTTTACAATATTCATAGGGATTGTAAAAGAGGTTTATATTTACAGGAATATAGTGTTTATACAAATCTCTAAAAGGGACATTTCCAGAAAAATCTTAGTTACTGAACTTTAGTGAATTGCTTCAAATTGTGCAAAAAACAAATCAAGATATTTTATTAATTGTAATGATATTAATAAGGTTTATACTGTAATACAGAATATTTCCCGGTAGAAGGTTCCAGGGGAATTAGTTTCTTGATGGTAAGCTGTGAAGAGCTAGTGCCTTGTTTTTGCTATGTAAATTTTCTGTTGATCTGACCAAACGGTTTACACGATATAGTTAGAGAGAAAACATTATCCTTTATTCACTCTCCACTTCTTATTCTAATTCTCCTGACATTTTGAAGTGGCTGCTTCTCAGACTATTTCAGTACTATGTGCCTAATAATGATCTTTTTTAAAAAAAAAATGAAATTTCACTTTTTGAAAAAGTATGTGCTGCATGCACATAACAAAATAATTAAAACTAAGCTTCTCTCTCTCTCTCCCAGTACTATCAATCACATCAATCTCTCCATGAGACCAGGCAGCCAAATTAAAAATAAATAGAATTTTTAAAAAACCCTAAACACTAAGCAGTTGGGAAAGGAGGTTTCTCAGATTTTAAAAAAAGGCTTGCCTGATATTGAGGGAAATGTAGAAAATGTTGAGTTGTTACACCTTGGAAAGTACAGTTCAGAATGACTAAAGGAAAGCACAGGCGATAGGGTGAAACAGTTTGAATTTCCTTATATTTTCTTCTCAGCTGGTGCTGTTCAGATGTCTTAACTTACAACTTATAAGCATATAGTAAATCTTTTTTTCGTAAATACATCCATGATTCCTTAAGACAGTAGTTATATCGGAGCTCCCAAATTGGAAAGCCTGATGCTAGATGAGTTTGCTATTGGCTCTCCATAAAGCTGCACCCAAAAGGTCTATCAAATGCATATCCAAACATAGAACATAAAACAACAGAGTTGGAAGGGACCTTGGAGGTCATCTGGCCCAACCTCCTGCTCAAGCAGGAGACACTAAACCGTTTCAAACAAATGGCTCTCCGGTCCCTTCTTAAAAGCCTTTGTGGATGGAGCACCCACAGCTTCTGAAGGAAAGTCATTTCACTGGTTGACTGTTCTCAGGAAATTTCTCTTAGTTGTAAGTTGCTTCTCTCCTTATTTCCATCCATTATTTCTTGTCTTGCCTTCAGATGCTTTGGAAAATAATTTGTCTTTGTGACAGGCCCTCAAATATCGGAATATTGTGATTGTGTCTCCCCTTAGTCCTTCTTTTCACTAGGCTAGACATACCCAATTCCTGCAACCGTTTTTCATATGCTTTAGCCTCCGGCCCCCTAATCATCTTTGTTTCTCTTCTCTGTACCCTTTCCAGAGTCTCTACATCTTTTTTTGTTTGTTTGTTTTCAAAAGGCTGCAAACAAGAAAATTACTACTTATACGGGCATCTGTGGAAGGAGGGGTGTCCAAAACATCATGGCACAACCAAAGCCCCCCCTCTTTTGATAAGGGGACGGGGCTTCACTTGCGTACTCGGCACCATCTCCTCAATCTTTTTGAGGTGCACATCCCTAGAGCTTTCAGTTTAGAGGGTATGTATTCAAAAAACAAAAAAAGGAAGTAAAGTCTGTCATTTGGAAAGTGGGGGGGGGACTTTTTGCTTTGCGTTAGAAGCATTGCCTGTGACTGAATCAGATATGCTACTAACATTGGGATAATCTTCCAGAAGGGAGGAGAGGTCATTTCTTGTTATATGGATGGCTTAATTATATCCAAACAAACTAAAAAAATACTTGCTTTGAGGGGAGGGTGTAATATACTCTAGTTTTTTGTATCATGCTCAGCATGGTTAAATACCAGATTTCAAAGGAAATTCACTTTTTTCCACACTGAACTTATCCAACAGTCTGTGCTTACAAACTGCAGTTGAGAAATAGAAGACTGTCGAAGTGGTAAAAAAATGTTCAATGTTTTCATTTGCTGGCTCTCTCTCTTCCTCAATACATAATCCTCAAAAGTGGTTATAAATGGATGCATCCCTATTGTGTTTCAGACCCAACAAAATTACCCTGCAGAAATGCAAAGACACTTTCAGAGAAAATAAAGCCACAAAAAGAAATCAATGATTTCTGCTGTCTCCATCTAAATTACCAGATCAAATTTAACTTGCAATATCCAACCTTTTGCAGAAAGATAGTGATGAAAATAACCCTATGGAAACTTTTGGTGCCACCTTAAAGGGACTTCACACGCCACAGGAAGAATATGTGGCATGAGATCATCACACAAATGTCACAACTTATATACTTGCATGCGAAAGCAAAAAGCAAAAACGTGTGGCATTTGCATGATGACACAACCTTGCATATTATCTCATTTTAGCAACGTGGTTTAATCTCAGACCCCAATATATGTGCACCTTGTGGCACAATGCTTATATAAATATTGGTGTTATGACATATGAAGTATTCTGCCTGACTTAGTGTACATCTCATTTGAAATGTGGGATACCCCAAGCGGGGGACATAGCTGAACTTTGACTTCTTCTGCCAAAGGGAGAAACTTAGAGCAGGACTGCACTCTAAATAGTAGAGAAACATTTTGCTTCAGATTACAAATGTTGGGTGCCATAGCAGGAATATAGATAATGGTTCTTCCTGGTTCTATTTTCTATCGAATTACTGAGAAAGATTTTGATTCCCCTTGCCTCAATGCTTTTGAGCAGAGATGGGGCAGCAGGGGCATGCGGAGCATTTTCAGTGCAAAACATTTCCATTTGAAGCACATTTCAAGCCCGTTTTGAGTTTGGAAGAGATATTCTGGTTTTATTAGAAATGTTTAACGAAGTTCTGACCATTCTGAGAATGTTCTGAGCTTGAAGCAGCCCCGTTTCACACTTGGACCACCCATTCCAAATTTAAGACAAGAGCTTTTTGCTGGACACGAAACTTTTACAAAAGCAGACACATGGGAAGGTTGCAGAAGGCTGTTTCAAACCCAAAGCAACCATTTCAAATCTGAATTTTTAAAAGAATTGCATGCCTAAAATCTCTGGGAGGGAAATTTTAAATGGGATTACAAAAGAAGGCTGGTGGCTGGATTTCCAACTGATCTTGTGTTGCCTTCCAATATAATACCCAACACCAAAGCCAATATTCATATACACATGTCCCAAACCATACATATCTGAATACAAGTAATCCATTTTCCTAGATTTGAAAAACAGACTGAATCAGAAATAATTCCGAGTGGCTGGGTTTGTATAACATGCTAGTTTACAAATTGGTAGTGGTGATGGCAGTGATAATAGTGTATTGTGCAAATCTGATTTAATCTACAGGCACCACCTAGTCTAAAATACCTCAAGCAGCAAATGTCTGTGCCTGCCCTTCTTTAAACTGCAGCATAGTAAAGCAACCTTATTTGGAGTCTTCCACCTGAAATTGTTACTGTACTTGTTTTAAACTGATTCTTCTACCAGGAGAAATATATACTTCTTTAAAAAGCGTGTGGGGAGGAAAAGTGCTGGCAAGCTTTGATTCTCTCAAGCCATCTTCTCATGCTTCACTTTATATAGTATCATTCATGTATTTTAACAATCTACCTTCCCTGGGAAGGAGATTGGCCATCCAGGTGTCCATCTATATTAGTATGTGGGAATGGCCTTGGGGGAGAGGAGGAAATAATGTAGATTGGGCAACCAGCATGTAAAAGATATCTCAGCCCACAGAAGAAGGGAAGGTATGGGAGGCATCTCAGAAGAGACCAGGGGTGGTATTCAGCAGGTTCTGATCAGTTCTTCAGAACAGGTAGCAGAAATTTTAAGTAGTTTGGAGAACAGGCAAACACCACCTCTGACTGGAGATTTTACAGTCTCCTTCCCCTGCCACGCCCACCAAGCCACACCCACAGAACCGGTAGTAAAAAAAAGTTGAATCCTACCACTGGAAGAGATCCTCCCTAGTTTTCTGAAGAGTAAAAGGAAAGGAGGGGACAAG